CAGTTCATCCAGTTTGTTTAGTAAGCTGTCTGCATTGGTATATAGACAAGACAGATATTTCTTCAGATTAGGAATGAAAAGTTTGGTCCTTTTTTGGCCGCCACTCGGATAATCCTGTTCCGGGTCTCTTACTAAGTGGACATATTCCCCCGATTTCCCATTGATGGTTTTCCTTTTGGCTTCCTCTTTTAGTGACTTTTCATTGTCTCTTTCAGTCTTAGTTAAATCATTACTAACCCTGACTTCCTTGTAGACTTCTTCCTTTTGGAGTTTTTTAATGTTCTTGAAAAGAATCTTTTTGACTTCTGTGGATGAAAAAGAAACCGGAATAGGTCTACTAGTGTTTTTCTCATCCTCAGACTTGGTCTTTTGGTATTATATATACTGAAACGAATCAGAAACGCAACTTCAAATTGTAGGTTTAATAAAATAATACTTGTGAGCATTATGTCTAAATTTCATATGTAATAGTTAATATTGAATATTGATGTAACATCCTCTAAATGTTTGGAGATTTTTAAGAAAAGGTCACTTCGCTAGAAGGTCATGATTGGTAGTACCCTACGTTAATCCAAGTTGAAATGGCAGCAGTTTTGAAACCGTGCCCTAATATCGTGTGTGTCCTCCTCGAACAGCTATAGCATCTCTAATTCTTCGTTGCATCGAGTTCATCAGGGCATTGACTGTCCGTATTGGAATGTTATTCTATTCTTGGACGAGTGCATTTGCTAACTGGGGGAGGGTATTTGGGGGGTTACGGCGATTGCGAATTCTTCTGTCTAGTTCATCCCACAAATGCTCGATTGGGGACAAATCGGGGCTATATGGAGGCCAATCTATAGGAACAATGTTGTGTCGCAAGAAAGTCTCTACAGACTCTTGCAACGTGTGGTCTCGCGTTATCTTGCTGCAAGGTTAGATGATGCTGCCTAACAAACGGCACAACATGGGGCCTAAGGATCTCATCCCGATAGCGTACGGCCGTTAAATTCCCATTGACTATCACCAAAGGTATCTTCAAACCATGGGAGATTCCCGCCCAAACCATAACTGATCCACCCCCAAATCGGTCATGCTCCAAAACACAGGCGTCAGCAAAACGTTCGCCTCGACGCCGGTACACACGCTGACGGCCATCTGCTCGAAATAACGTGAATCGAGATTCATCGGTGAAGAGCATGGACCTCCAACGTCTCATAGGAAAACGTCTGGGCATATGTGCCGTCAACCATTGCATACGACGTGCTCGACGTTGCGGTGTTAGTGGTAAACCAACGTACTGTCGCCTTGCACGCAAATTAGCCTCACGCAGTCTGTTGATCACTGTTTGGGGATGAATCCGATGGTTATGATTACCAATCGTATTCCTTGCCGTTTCAGCAGCCATTAACCTCCTGTTACGCAAGTGTGCCAGCCTAACAACCCGGTCTTGACGTCGCGACGTTACGCGTGGACGTCCTGGTCTTGGCCGGTCATCGACTCTTCCTGTGGCGTTAAGACGTGAAACTAATCGACTAATAGTCGATTTGTGAACTCTGAAGTGTCGAGCGACGTGAAGTTGCGTGCTCTCTGCCATAAACATCGCGATAGCACGACCTCTATCAACCTGTGATAACCGTGGCATAATTGTAAAAGGAATTTTTGTTTGCAAAAGTATTGGCGATGATGTGTCTCGATGTTAGTGATAAATTGATACTGGTTTGAATGAAAAAGAAAGCATATGTTTGTACAGCACGGTTTTTGATGTTTTTACCGCGCCGGATGTGCATAGGTTTCTCGTCACACCTGGTTAATTTTGAACATTGGTTAGGGTGATAGGCATGGTGCACTTTTATTTCCGCGATTTTTATACAGCTATGTATATTTAATACAAAATTAATAACAATTTTCCAACTTGCGTTTTTTTTTTTTTCGTTTCATATATAAGCATTCAAGAGTGACCTTTTGCCTTCACAATGGCCGCCAAATTCTGATCAAGTGTAGAACTTCTTGTGAACATGAAATAATCTCTTCATGAAGTTGTCTTGTATGAAAGTCTGGTTTTTTTTTATTGAAAAAACATCTTTAACCTTGACTAATGACCAACTTACTATCATCAAGTGTAGAACCTGATAATGTGATGCTATGGTCTGAATATCAACACCTTCTACATGAGCACTGCACATCCACAGATGGACACACAGACAAAATCATCCCTATTTAGTCGAACCTTAATAAATGGTGGACTAAAAACAAGAAAATTCTTTTCATTCTTACACTTTATACGAAATTTCAGATGTAGTTAAATTAAATAAAGTATTGAAACTCTGATGAAATAAACGTAGGATGTAATAATCAACATCATCCTTGCTGCTCTTTATAATCATTTAATCACAAACTTTTGTAATTTTTCATCCATGAACTTGTAAACTGATAATTCTCAATCTGCATGTTTATAAAATTCTTTGTCCATACCAGGTTCACATACATAATTTTTCATCCATACAAGGTTCACATACAATTTTTCATCCATACAAGGTTCACATACCTAATTCTTTGCCCATACAAGGTTCGCATACATAATTTTTCATCCATACAAGGTTCACATACATAATTCTTTGCCCATACAAGGTTCATGTACATAATTCTTGATCCATACAAGGTTCAAGTACAGAATTCCTTCATTTATACACAATTCATGTATAGTTCTTCATCCATGCACATCCATATATAATTCATATTCATTTCTTCATATATACAGCCTTTTGACATTTCAAAATGAGCATAATTGCATGAGCCAACAAAACAAATCTCTTAAGCTATAAATTACTGGCATAATTCTATTTTGTACTGACTGCTTTCTCTCTGGTTTGAAAATACTGTATCCTCTGACAGCAGAGACAGAAATTGGATTAAAAAAGACTGAAACTGAAGTTTTTAGTCCTGTTAATGGGAAAAGATTTAAGTTTGCATTGTTCTGAATGAATGAAAAAAAAGGCTGAAATTCTCCAAAAAGCTTACAATTGGTTCATCATTGTGAACATTCCAGTCAGTTAACACCATTATAACACAGATACTGAATTTACAGTTATAAATTTCAACATTTGCACAGACATTTGATATCACATTATCAACTTTTTAACCCATCAATCAACTAGCTTCCAGTTAAACTGTTCTTCACTTTCACCACCCATAATGAACTTAAATCAATTAGCATGTTTAACTTTTTGTTTTGTATTTAATATTCTATTTAGAAAAAGAAGCACTCTGTAAATAACAAATATGGTGTTATCTACGACTTTCCTTAAAAATGTTAAGTTGGCCATTCATGACTTGTAGTGATAAATCTACATGCGAGTCCCGAGTCCTATACTCATAGAACTTAAATTTCACCTAGTGGGAGCCATTGTTCTGAACAATGAATATGAAAAGGACTTAAACTGTATATTGATCACTGGACTTATCGGGAATCTTTCCACATAAAATATCATTGTTTATCATGTATATTTCCATACAAAAGTCTACAGTGATCCAAACATACACAGAATACTGTAAAAACAATTCTGCGCGCTGAAAATAATTCATCAAAATAAATACAATATAAAAATATTGTTTTTACAATATACTTTACAAATTTACAAATCAATTTACAAATAATTTAGGATGAAATTCTAGTTTCAAAATAAACTTCCTCAATGACAACAGAGTAAACTTGAACTTAAGACTGATATCAACAATGTATACTGTACAGCTACTCTGTCTCATCAATTGTAAATTGTACTTGATGATCCACATTAGATTAGTCTGTATTTCAATCCTCCAAAGCTTGGACTACTCACCTGAAATTTCACCAACAACAGAATTTTCACAAAAAGATTTTTCCTCTATATCCATCAAAATGGAATATTCCCCTCATTGTCCTACACAATATACCCCTCCATCTCCATGAAAATGGAATATTCTCATTGTCTTACACAATAAACATCTCCATATCCATCAAAATAGAATATTCCCCTCATTGTCCTACACAATATACATCTCCATATCCATCAAAATGGAATATTCCCCTCATTGTCCTACACAATATACCCCTCCATCTCCATCAAAATGGAATATTCTCATTGTCTTACACAATAAACATCTCCATATCCATCAAAATGGAATATTCCCCTCATTGTCCTACACAATATACATCTCCATATCCATCAAAATGGAATATTCCCCTCATTGTCCTACACAATATACCCCTCCATCTCCATCAAAATGGAATATTCTCATTGTCTTACACAATAAACATCTCCATATCCATCAAAATGGAATATTCCCCTCATTGCCCTACACAATATACATCTCCATATCCATCAAAATTGAATATTCCCTTCAATGTCCTACACAATATACCCCTCCATCTCCATCAAAATGGAATATTCCCCTCACTGCCCTACACAATATACCAATCCACCTCCATCAAAATGGAATATTCTCATTGTCTTACACAATAAACATCTCCATATCCATCAAAATGGAATATTCCCCTCATTGCCCTACACAATATACATCTCCATATCCATCAAAATTGAATATTCCCTTCAATGTCCTACACAATATACCCCTCCATCTCCATCAAAATGGAATATTCCCCTCACTGCCCTACACAATATACCAATCCACCTCCATCAAAATGGAATATTCCCCTCATTGTCCTACACAATATACCCCTCCATATCCATCAAAATGGAATATTCCCCTCATTGTCCTACACAATATACCCCTCCATCTCCATCAAAATGGAATATTCTCATTGTCCTACACAATATACCCCTCCATCTCCATCAAAATGGAATATTCCATTTACTGTCCTACACAATGTAAACTCTATTTTCATCAGAATGGAATGTTCCCTCTTACTGTCTAACATAATATACACTTCCTTTCCATCAGACTAGAATATTTACCCCCTACTTGTGAACACAACATGAACTTCCATTGCTAGTTTATTTTTGATAGGACTATGTCTACACTCAGATGTGGTTGAAGATACTGTTTTGTGAGAATGACGAATCCTTTTTCTCTAACCGAGGTTTCTTGGCAGCTGGTGTATTTTTGGTGTTAGGAGTGTGAGCTTTCCTCTGCTTTGGGCCTAAAGTAGACTTAGCACTAGAGACCTGAAAATGAAAATGTGATTTTTATTAAGATTGCAGTAAGTTGTGTCACCAGAATACCATCATAGAGTTTTAAACACTTCATAACATCCCTTTACTTAATTATGAACTAGTCTTCTATGTGAAGAATTTTGGATGAAGGTTATAGAATCATAATGGAAGCATCTTGTTCCTACATAGATACTACTTTCTGATCATGTAGCTTTCACACCACCACCACCACTACCTGAGATTCTCTAGAAATCTGTATTACGATTATTTTTTGTCAAGAAGACGTCACAGTGACCTCTTTTTATTAACCCAAATTCTACATTTTCATGTACTTATTCTGAAATATCCATGCATAAGAAGTGATTAAGATATGGGCCAAAAACTACTGTGCTGTTTCTTTTAGATTTTATGTTAAAGGTCAAAGGTAAAAGTCATAGTAACCCAACTTCAACACATCATCGTCTTATTATATACTTATTTTTAAAGTTTGATATCCACACATGAAACAGTAACAGTACTTTGAATATTTGCTTTTAACTGGCATAGAAAAGTAAAGGTCCAAAGGCAGAGTTAAGATCACAGTGGAGTTCACTGGCAGAGTGGGAATAGTTCTAAATAGCATATACAGCAAAATGGCCTCCCTGGCTGCTATATCAGTTTTGACAAGGTCAAAAAATAACAACACTTTGTTAGCTACCTTTCCTTAACATTCCCACCAATTTTTAGCTCAATGGCTTCAGTGAACCTACTGAAGTTCAAAATATGTTTTTCAAGAAGGTGCCCAAAAAATAAAAACACTTGGTCAGGATTACACAAGATCATTTCATATTTGAGCTCAACGCCACTGGTGAAACTTGTGAAAAAGTTTGAAATGTCAAAAGTTTACAAACGGTTGATGGCAGATGAACCACAATGACTAAAATAACCAACCTTCCGGTCAGATGACTTTGAAATACTAGTCTGTCACCGACACATTTATTTTTGGTTTTAAATTCATATACTGATATACATGTACATATACAAAGTGCAAGTTTTATTTTATTCTATTTTACATGTAACATTTACAGTGTTGTATATGTAAATTTAAAGTTATGCTACAGTGGCTTTCACCTTTTCGTAACCCATCAATGTTAAGTTATGTGTATGAGAGTGGATGCGTATCCACGTTTGTGCTGTAATTCAATGACAAGTGTTTCACATTACATTTTTTGTTTTATATTAATACTTATAACTGGTATAACTAAAAAAATTCGTCAGTATATAAATTCACAAAATATTTTTGTTTATTTGTTACTTATTCATTACTGTCGCGCCATGCAATGAGACACGTATCCGGTAAACAAGTGATAAAAATTTGGTCAATCTTTGATGCAAAATATCTCTGTTCATAGAAACACAGTTAAGTCAAACCATCAGATAAGTCAAATATTTCATTTCATCCTGGCAACTTATCTGTATAATGCTGTATACTATATACCTATATCCTGATTCAGTCATTTAAACACCATACCTAAACCTTGCTGCCGTAGAAAGTTCTTACCACTATAGAAATACACACGTACAGTTGTGTGACATTGGATTTTATAATAGACCAATCTAGGTAAAGTAATCATATTTTGTACCTTATTTCCAGATTTGTTTTCTTTCTCCTTCCCTGGAGATATGACTTGGAAGGTGAGGTTCCGCGAGTTCCTTGGACCCCCTGGGTTCACAACAGTGCTGCCTTTGTTGAACTCGGCAATTTTTGCCAGAGAATCTTTGTCTCGACTAAGAAAGGAGCCACGTTTCTGTCCCTAAATCAAACATTGAAATTGATAAAAACAGCTGAAATTAACATAAACTGCTTTTGCTTTTTAATTTACATACACCAATACAATATGGTGAGGATGTAAACTGAAGCCCCCTCCCAAAATACAATGTGACAAGAAGCAAGTTTTGTACTTTATGTGTGAAAACAAAACTTGAATATCCTCTTACAGTATAAAACTTTAACATCTCCTCCTACAATGCAAGACTTTAACAGTTCCTCCCATAATGTAAAGACTTAACTGTTCCTTTTAAAATATAAGACTTTGCAGTTTCCTTACAATGTAAGACTTTTACAATTTCCATACAATGTAAAACTATTACAGTTATTCTTACAATGTAAAACTGATACAGTTCCTCTTACAATATATAACTTTTACAATTCCTCTAACAATGTAAGACTTTTACAATTCCTCTTACAAAATAAAACTGTCATAGTTACTCTTTAACAGTATCTTTTATTTCATGATCTTTATAATTTAAAGCCATGATATTTTATTTCAGTAAAGTAAATCACATGCATGAACACATCAACTTCACATACAGAATGTTTGAAGAGGTTGGGAGTAGGTGTATCCTTTCTCTTCGGGACAATGTCTGGATTGGTTGGTGTTTTGGGTACAGAACTACTGGTGTTACTGCTGTCAGACTCTGTAACAGAAGTATTTAAGGAGACTATTAACAAATATACAAAATGTTTATCACTATTCATCATGAACGACACTTCTGTTTATACACTGCACTATCATAATTGCGTAATAATTCGAACCATTCAAATGTTGGAGTATATTTTAATATCATTTACCTGAAGTAGAGACATTCAGTTCAGTATTTGAAAAAAGAACGAGATTTTCGAGATAATTTGAAGTTTCTTTGGAAACATTAAATAGTATAAAACTGCCTTGTGGTAAACAGAATCATTTTGTAGTCTCTAAAAAGTTCTAGGTTAAAATAAGACCTAAATCCCTTGACAATGCTTACATTCCTTTACCACTGAACCCTATAGAAGAACATACAACCTTGTTGAGTATAAGATCTATTGACATTTTCATTAATAAATACATCTTATCACAGAAAATGAAATCTTGAACACCTAAAACCTCATTGGACAGAAGATTGCAATATAATGAGGTTTTATCAAATATGGAACATACAATTATCAAAATGAAGGCATATTACACAGCACATACAACAATCCAAATGAAAGCACTATACACAGCACATACAATGATCCAAATGAATCATTATACACAGCACATACAATGATCCAAATGAATCATTATACACAGCACATACAATGATCGAAATGAATCATTATACACAGCACATACAATGATCCAAATGAATCATTATACACAGCACATACAATGATCCAAATGAATCATTATACACAGCACATGCAATGATCCAAATGAAAGCACTATACAAAGCACAACATTATCCTAACGAGGCTCTTTCCATGGCACACACAACAATCCAAATGAATCATTATACACAGCACATACAATGATCCAAATGAAGACTCTATACACAGCAGACACAACAATCCATGGAACACACAACAGTCTAATTGGAGGCACTAAACACAGATCACATGATCAGAATGAAGGCTCTATACACAGCAAACAACAATCCAAATAAAGGCACTATAAATGGAAAAAACAATCCAAATGAAAGTACTACACGAGTCACACAAAATCCATATGACAGCACTTAACTTAATACTTATTCCTACAAAGCAACCAAGTTCAGTTATTCGTAATACAGTGATATTTGTAAAAGCTCTATATCAGCTATTCACAGAAAACCTACCTCTCCTCTTGAGGAATACTTTGCCAAATTTGAGGAACTGGCTTTCCTCTTCTTCCTTTCCTTGGTCCTGCCAAACCAATATACAAAGTTAATCCGAATCATCATTCTCTAACAAGTTCTGGACATTGTGTAGAGCAGGAAAGATGCGGAATCTGCTATAGTTCATGAAATGATACTGAGCAGTGTTATTATGCGAATGTACAAATGGTAAGGAAAATGATTATTTACATTCAAAGAAAAATTGCTGATTTCACAAGTCTCCTAAAAATTATCAATATCAATCTAAAATGTATCTTTTACAAAATGACTGTGTGATCTTTTTCATAACAAAGCAAAACTACTAACACTGTAATTCCAATAGAATTAAATGTAATATTAGGAAAGTAAAGTGTGACTTGTCTCCATACTAATAACATGGTGATAAAAACATTTTCAGTTATTAAACCCATCTGCACTAAAAAAAACAATTAAACTTTGAAAGATGACAGAAAAGCTCACACTGTACAAAACACCCACCATTTGTTCTTTGAGCCATTTCTCTCGCTCAAATCGCTCCTTCCTCCATCGGAGTTCATTCTCTACCTCTTCATCCTCCTTCTCCCCTTCCGACTCACTTCCAAACATGTCTTGCTGAGTGTCATCATCTACAAAGCAAACAATGGACATGTTATATCCAAATAGCACTGAAACTATACACATTACTTGGTATGCTTTGACTTATTGTAGAACATACAACATTACACAGATAACTTATTTCAAGGGTAGAGGGATCATTTAATGCAAGACTCTGATGAACATTTCAGATTGATTAAATGATTATTGACATCTTAGGAATTCCACCAACCATAACAGCCTGTCATATACATAAGATATTGTGACCAAGGTCCAGGATCATGAAACAATCTTAAGTCTGAAGCTGTCCAAAGGTTTTACTTCTGGATAACCCCATGAAGTGATTTTTACACCAAAACACCATGAAAAGAAATGTCATATGTGATTGGCTAAGCAAAAGCTTAAATAACAGATTGTTTCATTAGCCCCAGGCCTGAACAGATTTTTTCATCCCTGGAAATCTTGGAAATATGAATCTAGTCTTTGTAGGGCCAATATAGATGGCTCAGTGTGGGCATCAAATTGCATTGAAAATATATTAATAATCATATAATAGTGTTGGTAAAAATAACTTTGCAAGCTATGCAACTGCAAGACAACAAATTAATCATTTACTGATTACATTTTTTTTCCCTAAATCTAATGGATGCATATCTGCTGCATTAATCTAAACATTCTTTACCGATATTCCTCCATCTGAACTGTCTTTTACGTCCTGCTCCGTCAGAGTGAAGATCCCCATCCTGTAGGTACATCTCCTGAAAGCGCATCAACTCGCGTTTGTCTTCATCTATCAACTGTTTCCTGGAGAGTAAACACAGGTTGTACATCTTACTAAATAGGTTCATGTTACATGATACAGCTCCAATGAGATCTAATTTCTCATCATGCTGTATATCTGTATAAATTGAATCTATGTCAGTTGGATATTTTCCATTTTTTCTGTTTATTGTGATAACTATTTGTTACATTGACAAATGAATTTATCACAATGACACAAAATCTTAAAAATGTTGATAATCTGTTAATTAGGTTTGTTAAAATCCAAGATCGCCAGGTGTTATCTCTTTAGATTTTGCCAACAAAAACCAAAGGAAACCTTAAGAAACAGAGATCGCAAACTGATTATTGTCAAAATCAAAGGCAGCCTTCTGTTGACCAGAATCCTTTTTCGCTCATCCCAAAATAGATAACGCACAAGACGGAACAAAACGGAACTTTCACCAAAAAGTTTGAAAAAAAACCCAAACAATTCTAAATGTCAAAATCTAAGAGGCAGCTTGTCAGCCATTTTGTATTTATAATCTACCTTAAATTTGTACAGACACAACTAGGGACCCTTTTGGTACCGCCTCTCAGGCCACTGAGGGTTGGAGAACATGTAATTTACAATTTTGGTGTTCTTTTAATCATGGAAGTGTTTTTTTTAGTTTTATTGAAATCAGTTCTGGAGTTTTCCAGAATAAGTTGAAAATGTTAAAAGTTTACGAAACACAACTCAACAAAACCTGGAGTATGGGGTTGGATAGAAGTTCTACTGACAGTCCTATACAAAGCCAGAAGCCCTAGGGTGGGACAGATATTATACTGGAATGACTTTTAACAAAACTAGAAGTCCTGGGTGGTGATAAATGTTTTACTGAAACAGGCCTTAACTAAACCTGCAGTGGAGTAGTCATAAACAAAACCTGAAGACATGGAGTGATATAGATGTTTGGGGAGTTTGAGATAGAAATGGGAGTTAGCTTTGGCTGACTTGGGTCCTTATAGGATGTTTTGACATGGTAAATGTTTGTAGATAACTTACAAGTGGGCACGGCCGACCTGGTTACGTAACTCCTCTTCCCCAACTGTCACATCCTTGTCACCTTCCTCCATCTCCATGAAATCATCTTCCTCCGCAATATCCAAGTTTTCATCACTGTCATACTCACTCCCTGTTAGCCACAAAACACAGAGCTTGTGTTCTTGATCATTTGCATTTGTGTACTATCATGCAAAAATCATTATTTCTATTGTTGAAGCAAACAAATGATAAGTGGTTGTGATCAGAAAAGTTTCAGAAATACTGTACTCTATAAAATTTTGAAATTAATAAATAAATGAACAAAGTAAAGGAATTTCAAAAATTACCTGACAGTTCTGCTTCTTCATCCACAAAGTCTTTCTTGATAAGGCTACAGATTTGAAATAAAAATAACTTTACTCTATTTCTAAACAATGACAATTTCACTTTTCAGATCAACTCAGAAAATGTAGATACAGCACTAACACGCTTGAGAATCAATATTGTCTTAGGCTGCAGTTCACATGACTTGAGTATATATATATATATCTTAAGATGAAGTATTAATCTAGAAAGTAAATTTTGAACTAAATGGCACAGCAAGCATATTCCTGTCCATTTTCTAACACCATACAAATAATTACGTAAGACCAACTGAAACTGTATGGTGTTGTATAGTTGTTATTGTATTAACATGAGACATAACAACATGAGAAAAAATTGCATTTCCACATGCTGAATGTAAAATTTAATTATCAAACACCTGCAAGATGGCATACTGTCCAGGTGGTTTTGTTTCTTTCAAGTATAAATAATGGTTGTCTTTGATAGTAAAACAGTATATTGAATGCCATAAGATTCACTTATCAATCTAATCACCTCTACCAGATCAGACAGGAAATATAGTGTACAAAGTTAAAACAGTACTTGTAAATTGATAAACAGTACAAAGTTAAAACGGTACTTGTAAATTGATAAACAGTACAAAGTTAAAACGGTACTTGAAAATTGATAAACAGTACAAAGTTAAAACTGGACAGGTATATTGATAAATAGTAGTTAAAATTTTGGAGGAATTTTTTTTATTACTATGTTAAGGACCTACCCATGTTTATTGCCTGCAGTAAAGCCAGTGAACTTGTGAGAAGCCTCTCCATCCTCCTCATCTCCACTTTCTTCTATATGATCTGTGTCATTTCCCGCATCATTGTCATCATCACTGAGCTCATTCTGTAGGAAAGGATTCAACATTAGGTAAATAACAAAAACCTGTTTTACTTTTTGAGAGAAATCTTTTTATAAGTCCGTTTCACTTTTCTTCTCACCTTGTCATTGTCAAATTTCTCTTCTCCATCACTCACAATCCTAAACTCTTCCTCTTCCACATCATCATCTAATGGTAACTTGCGCTTCATTCCTGACTTCTGGGAAACTTGAGGAGTTTTGCCACTGAAACCAAAACAGAGAAAAATAGAAGTGCTCATTTCAGGTATCTTCAATCTATATCTTTTTCATGTTATCACCTGCCAAGCAATGGATACACAGGTTTCCCTTCCATCAGCAACATTACTCATGTACTTATAGCAGTAATATACAAAATATTTCACTTCAGTAAGAATATATCCTTGATCAAGGTAACCATACCTGCCAGCAAACTGTCCCGAACAGAGTCCCAGAAGTTCATCCATGTTGCCTTGTGTTTGCTGTGTTCCAAATAGACTCTTACAAGACTTCTTATCCTCACTCTGTGTAGCTGTCATTATGATTGTAAAGAAAGATGATTTATTAGTACGGCTAGTAAAAGGTAATTTGAAATTGGCACCTTATATTTTTCTGAACTTCTTAATACTTCACTTCACAAAATCATGGATTTGGACTTGTTGTAGAGTGCCAACCTAAGGTTAAGTAAGTTTCTGGTCATATCCTCTGGCCCTAACCTGGAAGGTATGGGTTCTGCCTTCTGACCAAGACAAACCAGAAGGGCATGAGTTCTATCCCCTGACCTATACAAACCAGAAGGGTATGGGTCCTGTCTTCTGACCAATACAAACTAGAAGGGTACGAGTTCTGTCCCATGACCAAGATAAACATGTTTATGGGTTGTCCCCTGAGCTACCCAAAACGGAAGGGTATGGGTTCTATTTTCTAATTTTGTCAAACCAGATGGATGTGTGTTCTCTTCCCTGACCTAGACAAACATGAAGTTGATGAGTTCTGTCCCCTGACTCCATCCCTCAGGACATCTTTACAAAACATAGTAAGGATGTGAAATAAAAGTTGAAAGCAGCAGTACACACACTGTCAATCATGTAATATATATATTTCACATCATAGTTTATACTCACCTGCAAATCGTCCAGAGCACAGCCCTAATAGTTCATCCATGTCAGACGACTCAGCATTGTCTGTATTTCCTACAGCAAATGAGCGCACATTTTTCTTGTCTGTTGATTCAACCTTTAAAAACCTACAAAAGATTAGAAAAGAAAATGTTGAAAAATCTAGATATTTCTTGTGTTTCATGAAAATATTTTAACTGCAATCAACCTAGTTAAAACATACAACACCTCCCCACCTAAATTTTTTAAAATGGTTAAGTGTGAACTTTGACCCTTTTATCTTCTTTAACCTTGACCAATGATCAATGAGTACCAAAATCTTATGCAATGTTATGGCTTGAGGTTGTCTTACTATCCTGTAAAAATGAACTAAATCTACTATGAGTTAATGAGATATCTTGTGCAAAAGCTTCATATTTCAAAAATTGATGAGTGTGATCTTTGACCTTTCAACCTTGTTTAAACTTGACCAATCATATCCAAAATCTGACCCAATGTAAAGTATGAGGTTGTGATATTATGATGTAAGTCTGGTCGAAATCTGTTAAAGGCTCATGAGATATCTTTTACACAAGCTTAATATTTCAAAGTGGACAAGTGCAGCCTTTGACCTTTTAACCTTGATTGAATACCAGCAAAATCATATCAGGTGTAAAATTTTACCATTGTTTTAGACATGTGATTTCTCAAGGAAAAAGTGTCTAGAGCTTTCTTTAGTTAGCCTTACCCATCAGCATCCAACATCTGTGACTGGGAGTCCTCCAGGTAGAAGAAAGGTACCTGGCTCTGTGACTGCATCTGTGTTGTTGGAAGAGCTTGGTTGTTTCCATAGAGATCCTGAGAGTCTTCAATGGGTGGAGGCAAATTGGGTCGCTTTTTCTGTGTCTGGATATGAAATAAATGTCACACATATAGTATTGATAGACATCTCCATTTAAAATATATTCTTGCAAAAAATGACTTGCCTAATATTGAATTCATATAACAATGAACCAGGTAGGATGACATTCTCTGATCATTTTTGCTAACAAATAATTCAAGAACATGGGATAATATTCTACTTTTTTCAGTTTCAATGAAAACAGACAATGTTGGAGAGATAACACTAATTTTTTTCACAATATACAGGTATATTGTTTATCAATGATAGATAAATTCTTTATGTTATTTGATCAAATATAAGAGGTATTTTTTCTCTCCAAAATATTAAAATATCAGTTACTCTTTGATTTCTGGAAATAGGACATTATTTTTTTTGCCAGACATAAAACCAATCAAGATAATATTAAAAATGACATGAATGACACTTGAATAAACAGATGAAATAAAATAATTTAGCACTGAACTGCTCTCACAATAGAATGCAACTTACTGGGGAAGTTGTCATGGAAACCAGGTGTTTGGAGAAGGGAGAAAACTCATCTTCTGCTTTTGAGTTTTCAACACTATTTGGTACTAGAAAACAAGGGACTGGCACTTCTGGCTCAACATGCTTTGCATCTGAAATCCATAAGATTACAGACAGTTTTTACTCAAAATTACTTATCGTAACATGTACTGCCTTCATACAAAAACAGGGATTATACACTGTGACAAATAAAATGCATTTGTAATTTTGCTGGTATGACACATGTTGTAAAGGTGAAATGTTTATGGATGACATGATAAAAGAAAGAGCACAATGATAATAGACAAGGCTGGCCAATAAGGTCAGATGGCCTCAAAGGCTAAAATAGCACAGCAGGTATTTTCAATATCACCAGTAACTTTTTATTCCTCATGAAATTGACACTAATGGTACTATATTCTCTTTCAAATGATCAAACTCTAAACAAACCACTACAGATTCAAAATGTACCTTGTGTCTGTTGGGCATTGTCCTCCACATTAGTCAACTGCTGGGCATTGTCCTCCACATTGGCCGATTGCTGGACATTGTTTAATGAACATAAATCATTACTGTCCTCATCGTCACTGATTTGTAAAACTCTACTTTTCTTTTTGGCTGATACAGCTTTTATCACCACTTCTGAAAGTATAACATCATCTGATGTGCATTGAAAAATACTTCATAAATTTCCTTAAAGAGCCAGACCCACCCCTCAACCGATATTATTTTATGTAAAAAAAAAAAATTCATAATTTTCTATTTTTCTCAGGTAGCCAAAGTTCTTACATTGTAATACCGCAATTTTAAAGTAAAACGCGACCAATCTTACGTAATAAATAGTTTAAAAAAGAATTTGATATGACTCAGTGCTAATTCATAATTATGCTGGAAGTCCTGCCCTCTGACGCATGCAAAGAACTGTAAATAAATCTGCGGTCTTCCAACCTGGCAGAAAGCGTGCAAGGGAAGCGGGGAAGAAAACATGTTTTGACGGCCTCTGAGGCGAAAAGAAGGAAGATGGCTGGTTCATACTCTGTATCACTCTCTATTTGTCTCTCTCATGTATTATCACTCTAAAATCATATTCATAAATACTCTTGTCATCGAATATTCGCTTTAGATAGATCCTTTTCGCGATGTTCTATATGTTCATTACTGATCGTAGCCCCTATTTGAGGGCCTCTTTTCCTTTTTATCGTAGTTTTTCTCGTAATCTGCACGTTTTTGTGTCATATCTAAGCATTGAAAGATGTGATCAATACATACATTAGATGATTCCATAAAGGATATATAGAGTACTGATTGCATTTATCGGTAAAATTTCTTTACAACCAATGTCATGTGGACATACTACTCACCTCTTCTTTCATTTTTGTTTTGGTTCTGACCGTGTCTGAACGTATCACGTGACTTTTTCTCATCAATATTCATATCCTGGTGTAGATTAATGAGACTAAAATATCTATAACGGAGTGGGTCTGGCTCTTTAAATGTTTTGACTAAAATTAATATCTTACTTTTCTATTTATCTTTCAGATATATTATTTTTGACTTGAAGGTGATTACCACTACAATTAATATTATAGGTTGATTACCTTCTTTTTCATCATCATTATCATCCTCCTCTTCGTCAGACAATTGTAACTTCAGACTGAGGCCGACATCATCCTTCTCACTTTCTTCATCATCTTCTGCCTCATCATCCACAAATGGATTCTTCTGAAAAACAATTTGAAATCCAATATTCTGTTAACTGGTAAAACAAATTGAGAACAAAATTTCTCCCATAATTTTGATTCTGAGAGTATCTTTCACATGAATACATGTATAATGTTATTTTACTGCAAATAAGCCACCTCCCTACCATGCGTCCTCCAGGACACAAAAATGATACTACAAGAGACCAATATATATTTTGAGATAAGCCTGACGTTCAATTTTCTCATTTGATAACATAGAGATGGTAAGAAAAAGGTAATTTCTTCGCACTTTCCTTCAGAAAAGATACAGTCACAAATTAGATATACATATCAATATTAAAATCCATGAAATACATTACTCTTGTTAATGACATGCGAAAATCTAAAGGAATTCTCCTTTGAAAATTTTGTTTGGACCTTTTCATGGACGTTAATTGAGAAATAATGGGTGAAAAACATTAGTTTTAGTTTTAGGCTTAATGGTTGCACTTAATATATTTGATATATTATTGATAAGATATATTTGATCTGACTTTGTAATATATATTTAGACCGTAATTTTCACTACTATGTGTGGATCAATACAATATTCAACAAACTTCAGCGTAGACATTGTTATCAGCAAATAGTGATACATACAAGTTGTCAATATCATCAGTATTTGCGGGTACCTACAATCAAATCAGGATGACAGACCCTATTGGGTAAGGAGAATGCTCGAAAAGAAGTCCTCTCTATACTTTCTCTTAATGTATTTTCACTAGAGGTAGTGGCTTATTGGTGGTGAGATATGATAGGCAATGATGTGTACCTACAAACATTATGACATCTTCTAAAAATTTCATCAATTTGTCAGTTTTGATCTTCAGGTTGTGTCATTTATCTCAGTGTAAACAACTTTCAGATTGTCTAATTTTCTTTCAGTGCACACAATGTTATAACCTAGCCTGTTTTGATCTTCAGGTTGTGTCATTTTCTCTTAGTGTAAACAATCTTCAGATTGTGTAATTTTCTCCAAGTGAAAACAATGCTGTATCCTTATCTGTTTTAATCTGCAGATTGTAAAATATTCCTCCAATGTAAACAATGCTGACAGCATGTTTTATCCTTCTTTTCACCTCTTTAGGTTCCTGATCCTCCTCTAATTCCTCATCAGCATCTCCAAATTGTTCCTCAAACTCATCATCTTCTACATCAGTGTCAGAATGCTCTGACATTTCTGCTTCATCATCCAGTAAAGCTTCCTCATCATCTCCTTCGAACCCTGCCTCATTGTCAAGGTCATAAACTTGCTGATGCTTCTGTCGGTTTTTCTCCCTTTTCTGAGCCATAACCACTGACAGCTGAGACTTCAGAGCCAGAAGCTTTGCTCCTAAAACATATTATATAATTCATATGCTTTACAATATCTAAATGCAGGAAAGAGTTCTCATTTGATTTTCTCAACAGTTCTACCAAATTTGCCTGGTCCAACCTTTCTTTGACATACAATAAATAGTAATGGTGACCTTGTCCTTAGAACCTTCAAACACAAACTTATATAAGACATTTTAAAGTTTAATTTTGTATTGACATCATGTAAGTCACTCAAGTTACACTACTGATTCATGATGATATAATAGAAAATGACACTTAAAATGTGGGGCACAAAACACGGCTGTAAAAATGAAGTGAAAAGCAGTCCAGATTTGATAAGAATTACTAACCTGGTGTGTCTAGTTTATATAATGTGATAGCTACTACATTACTTATCTGATAAATAGTACAAACCTGGGGTGTCCAGTTTAAGGAGAGGGTTTTCCTCCACTGGAGACATGTGGTAAGTAAATGTGTTTTCCTTGAGTTCCTCACGATCAGGTGCCATCTTCTCTTTCTGTATGACACTGTAATGGTAACAGTTTCTTTGTTATGAGGATGGAATGATAACAAAATTGTCAAGATAAACTATTCACATTTGATTACACTAGGTAGCTCATTGAATTTTTATAAAAAAAAATAATCAAGGAAAATTTACCTGATCTGAATGTCTTGATCAGCTTTCTTCTCTTTCTTTTTTGAATGTTTGAGAAACCTGTCCATGAATATTGAAATTTCTCTGTTTTTGGGGGTAGAGCCTCCACTGTCCTCATCCAGACTGATGAATGAGTTGGGTCCTCCACTGAGACGGGGAAGGGAATGCAGGTCAAGGATTGATACGTTGGTTAGGTTTGCATTAGTTGTGTCCTCTGTCTGACATTTATGTTCAGTATTTACACTGTCACTAACAGCACTACCATCATGGTCTGTGTTGTTACCTACCTCGGTGGTATTGCTTTCTTTACTCAAGTTTTTTTTCTCCTGTACACAAGAATTTGTATTTTCATTTGGATTCGGTTCTTCAATACCTTGAAGTTCAAATGATGACTCCATTTTTAGCTTCTCTTCTTTATTAGCATTTGTTTTCACTTCTTCTACAAGCAACTCCGGCAGTTCATCAAAGTCTTTGTTCTCTGATGCTTTCTGCTGTTCCTCAGACTGTGCACATGTCTTACTCTCAGTAAGTTCTTCACAAGTATCACCTTGACTACCAATGACCTTGCTAGTGTTTGAATGTGGATCAGGCAGACTGTCAGAATCATTGTCTGCTTCACTGTGGAGTACCTCAGATTTAGATTTAGTAAGCTGTGAACTAACTGATGGGTCATCGTTATGCGTATCCACTGAAAGGTCTACCTCCATACCATGACTATCACTAGAAGATAACTTGGGACTAGAAAATCTGGTCTTGGATAGAACTTCCTCACACAGCTGTGCCTTACTGTCAAAATAAATTGATGGTTTACGTACACAGGTATTTTTTGGTTACACATTTACAGGATCATGCCTAAGTTCCAGATGTGAATTGCGACAGATGGACACATACAGAAAACTATCACCATTCTTACAGTACCTCTACTTCTGAAGGCAAAATATAGTTCGAAACCTAAAAATGCTAAATTTATTCATATACTGACCTCAGTAATACTAACTTTATTTGTCTTTTCATTTGGATAATCATTTTACACATCAACGAGTGGGATGTTTTCCCATCATTTGTGATGTTCTCAATGTATTTGAAATGAATTCTATTTCACTGAAATACTAAACTAAACTGACCGTGAGTGACTGGCACCCTTCAGGGCTTTGTACTGCTGCTGTTTTTGAAGGGCCCGACCCAGGAAGTCCTGCAGTGGTCTCGGGCTAGGATTGTAGTAAGGAATGTTTGCACTGGACTCTGCAACAATAATTTGATTTAATTTTTCTACTGGTAGATAGAACAGCATTATTAATAAAACCAAACTTAGCAGAGGTTCACAAAAATAATACCCCAAACTCATTGATCTTTTTATTTTCAAATAAAAATCTGTCCAGGAGTTCACGAGATATTTTCTACACAAGCTTTTTATTTTAAAAAAACAATGAAGGATAATCTTTGACCTTTAACCTTGACCCTAGGCCACCAAAGTAAAAACAAATGTACAACTTGACTATGCTAGGTTCCAGTGTGAATATAACCTAAAGTTCTCCTGCAATTCAAGAGATATCTTGTACACAAGTTAGCAGAAACTAATGCAAGCACAGATAGATGAGCGGAGACCATTGCCAACAGATACACAAAGTGATTTCTGTATACCTCTCCTCTTAACTAAATAGGGGTAAAACCAGGTTTAGTAACATAGTAAAAATGAAGAAAACAGCATTGCATCCATTTAACATATATTATCATAATACAGGTATTTTACTCGGTATTTGCAGGGTCTAGTAAAGGGAATAATTCCAAATCATAAACTTCTGTCTTTTCTCCAAATTTTACACTGATTTGCCCATGAAGTAGTTTGTATGACAAAATGAATTTGGAGTTAAAATGTACCAGAAAAGTTATCATTTAACAGTGTGATGTAGAGCTCCTCACAGCCTGTCCAAACAATACATAAGGAATTATCACAAGTTATAGAAATGCTCACTATTTTGTGATTAGCGATATAGGAGAATCTTATGTACCATGTGCTTCAGTTCCCACTCACCTCTGACCATCCTTTGGGTCTCACTGTGTATACTCAGAATGGCTTCTTCCTTAGCCTTTCTTTGTGAGCGTACAGTCTCTTTCTTGGCTGCTCCCTAAAAATAAACCATTCTTGTACAACACTACATTGGTGTGGTTGGGTTGGGATGCAGGCATTTTTTAACCAATGGAAATTTTTCTTACAGCTTATAATTGTTCTTACAAAATAAACTGTTTTCAAAATACAGTTTCCCTCCCTTCAAAATACCTGTTTTATGGTCTGTACATAGAAGGAGATAAGTGTATCAAAGTTCTCAGTGTAATATATACTATCCAAGACCTCATAAAATTTTAGTCTTGGAGCTTGAAAAATATATCAAAATACCTTTTTCAATTGTTTCAATAGTTTTGGGTCAATGGCACTTTCATCAAAACCTTCATCATCTGCTTCATCTGGGCTACTCCGGGCCGATTCATCTCCTGTAAAGAAGATGGGATGGGACACATCTTTTACAATCTGAATTTCCTGTATATACCACAATACAAATCTTGACCTCCCCGATACCGCAGGGATACAACATTAGTCTGATCATGTTGTATGCACAAGGACATAACATCATTGACTACAATGAACACATATCCCCAAAACACTTTGAAGGACAGAACATCAAGGTTACCATATTTTCCAGGTTATAAGTCACACTGGGGTATAGGCCGTAGAGCTGATTTTCATAATTTTTTCCCCACTTTGATCCATATATCAGCTGCACTGAAATATAGGCCGCCCCCCATTCTTACAATGTGGTAACCATTATGTTGACCAAAGTTTGTTGATAAACAACAAAAGGCAATTGTCAGTGAAACATTCAAGAAAAAGTTTTCAAATGAATTTTCACAAATAATCCTTTACCATTTAAAATACATAAAATATCAAATACCAAACTCATCTGGCTTCAGGCCTTCAATGATTATCTATGCACAGATTGCTTAACAATCTCTTCACTAGTGTCTGTATGGTTAAATATTAACGAAGGCCCTTGCATGCTGACCTAATGCTCACAGTCCCATAATATTTCTTCTCGTCATTTACAAGTAGCCATTCCTAGCATAAACAAGCATGGTGGCCATTCTAGAATTTGACCTATCACCTGATGACCAAGGGTTTTTTCATTCTGCAAATTTTTCCTCTGTCCACATAAAAGCCGCATGCCAAACCCATCAGAAAAAAGGCTGTGGCTTACAATCATGAAAATATGATACATATTCTCAATATCAATATGATCTCATGACGCATCACAAGGAACCAGTAGTCACACATTCTAGACTATTAAACAGAAGGAAAAAGGGTCCGGATTACAACTAAAGGAAGAAATAATAGACAGATTGTTGTTTCAGCATTGACATGTAGCACTGGTGTAGCATTATACATTTGTTACTTATATCCTTACCACTGTCTCTGTCACTGTCACTCTCAGCATCAAACAGGTCTCCGTTTCCAAAGACTGGCTTCTAATAACACATCAAGATATGTAATTACCAAGAGTACATTTAACCAAATAACATTTTTACAAAATGGCCTTTCCTGTGACCTTACTAATTCATTAAAATAAAAAAAAAATCTATGTCATAAGAAACACTTTTGAATTTGACTATGGATTCTACTGTACAATCATGTTTTCAAGGGCTCAATTTTCATGCTTTTCTGAAAAATGCCTGAATCATGAAAGCTTCATTTTGTGGATGAATATAGCTAAATAAATCTACTTATACTAATTTTAACAGTTCGTGGACATATAAGTTCACACTTACAAAACCAATGTAAATAAAACCACCACAAAAAATTATGATTTTACAGTAATTTACTTAGGGAACAGAAGTGTTGATAGACAGAAACATGATTACTGAGCTAAGAGAAAATTGTAAAATGTATGATTATGCATGCATTTTTATATGCTTACCTTAAGCTCAGAAGTGGATGGTCCAGGATCTGTACCTAAAACATTCAATTTTAATATCAGCTCAATAAAAAAATGTACAGGATTTCAATTTTAAGGACGATGCAGTTAAGTCACATAAATAAATAATAAATAATAAATTTCTAACAATGCAGTGATTATTCTTTATTTTCTTTTTCTTCAATTTATTTTTCTACAGAATGAAATTATGGTATGCTCAACAAAATAAAACAATTATGGCAAATTTTAGGGTACACTGGATATCAAAATCATACATTTTAACATCTTGAAACATTCGTGTAGAGGGAATGATAGCCCTACTTACCTTTGCCAGACAAACTAGAATCATTGCTCGACTCATCCATAATCTGTAACCTCTGAAAGGAACAGATTAACAATTAATTTATTGACCATAACAAGATAAAGGATAAGATTTTTATCACATTATATAAAACTGGTTTAATTCAATGTTGCCATACCTTTTTCTTCTTCTGTGCAACAGCACTTAGGATCTCTTCATTGTCACTTCCCTTACTGTCAGAATCTGAAACATGTGTTTTTGTAAATAAAATCTTGCTGGGGGTTTATTCTTACATTCAAACTGAATTACTATTCAAACATCATGAATGTCTCATGATGAGTAGTCATATCAACAAATATGTTGTTAGTGAGGTAGCCAACACTTACTACAAGGAGACACCCACCTCAAAACGACACTTACTGTTCAATAAACCCAGTAAACAAAGTTGCAAACATATCAACTTTATGATAGAATGGCAGTACTCTTTGATGAAATGAGAGTTACAGTGATATGATAGAATGACAAAGTTCTATCATTGCAAGTAGTCATATCAAACATTTTGATATAATGAAAAAGTTTTTACCTTCATCAGTGTCATTTGAGTTGAGAACTGCATTCAGAACCTCTTCTGCTGTCTGGAACAAAGAACAGTAACTATACCTAGCTTATATGTATCTCAGGAATTTTTTTGAAACAGATCAAGTCCAGTCATTTTATGAATTGTCAACAACTTTTCACCTATTTTGTAATGTTTGGTATTCATAAAAGTCAATGCTCTCCCAATTAACCAACTATGAACGACCAATTAAAAAATGCTCAAAGGGCTGCCATTTCTCCCTGTCAACCTCTAAATCCAATTTGCATAAATGGAGGAAAAGAATTTCTCATAAAAAACTAAATCAACACTAGTCAGTGTTATTTCTTATTGAAGTTTTCACAAACTTTTCAACTAATTTATTGTTACCATATACATCATTTTCTATCAAAAGGAAAAGTATCTCAAACGCCTATTGGATAAATCAAGTCAGAAACTTGATTTCGAAAGTCCATGGTTGTAGGCCTCCTGAAAATGAAACTTAAAAGCATCTACAAAGACTTCAACAGTTGAATCTATAATAATAAGAAATGGCATGACCTCCAACACCTTCTGACCTTTGATCTTTTATCACTTAGTTGTAATAAAAGCTCTTTACATAACAACTGCTTACCTTTGTAACCTTGTTTCTTGATTCGATTAAGGAATCTACAAAAATTAAAATATTTCACCTGATTTTATGAATAAAAATACAAAAACGTTTGCACAACAAAATCTGTATGCAAGAGATTTCTTACAATTTCATTTTCACATCTTTGTCCGCATGCAAGTCAGCGTCTATTGTAATTTTAAAATTACTCTCACATATTTTTTTCAGGTTTAAGAAAATCAAGTGGCACAACAGTTTGCATTCATCCTATGTCAAGTGAAGAATTACCACACCAAATTTTATTGAAGAAAGCTTCACTACATTTCAAGATAATCAAGCTGACAATTTGTTAAAGCGATAAGTCAAAAATCATGCAAGCAGACAAGTTTTAAATGCAGAAAATAGCAACCGGCAGTAATTTTAACTCATTCAAATCGTGGAATACAAATGATGCTTTAAGAAAAATTCAACTACAAAATGACGAGAAAGTATTCATTAGTACATGTTTAGTCAAGAAGGAATCATGAATATGGTTTAAGTGCTCATGGAACTTACCAGGAATGGAGGAATCATTATTGTCATCATCCAATATCCTCGTCATCTAAAACAGCACACATTATATTATTTCAACATCACACAAACATATAAGTTAAACTATATATAAATCCCATATGTTTAATGCACATGACTATGATTATCTTTGATACTGCAGGGCTCTCGATCTGCCAGATTTGGGGCCGATATTCGGCCCCATTCCTAATGCAAAATAGTATCTTTTTTTCCCAATTTAGACCCTAAGTTTTCCTAATTCTAAGGAGAACACCATTATTTTTCCCAATTCAAAGGGCCCCGGTCCCAAAATGGGGTGTGAGAGCCCTATACTGTTTAAGAAATATGTGTAGAGATACTTAAAGTCCATGAAGAGTTCTAATAAACACAGATGTGCCCAAAATTTGTCAGATTTTTGCTCAATTTAACACCCACAACAGGCTACATCTTTTAAATACCAAAAGTGAATATTAAGAAATATTCATAATTGAAGAAAATATTCCTGTATATTTATCTAACATGATGACTTGGATAACAAAATTTATTTGCATTCTCTACTTTAATGACAATAACTTCTCCTATTTTGTATCTTTGACAATAACACAACAGAAGGAAAATATAGTCTTCAAAATAGGACACTTACTCGTTTCTTTGGTTTTACTTGAATATCTTCATTTTCGCTATCTTCACAATCTGCTAAATGGAGAGAAGGATTTTCATCTTCACAACTGATATCACCATCCCCTGTTGAAAGAAAGACATACAAAATAATATTCCAGTGTTTTTTCTGCTTATGAAGGCCATAGGACACATCATGTATGTCAGCAATTATAAAAAATACAAAAAATGCTCTACTGGAATCTGCATTTAAGAACCATTCATAATATACTTGATCTTTCAAATTAAGAATTTCCTTGAATTTCAGCTTGCTACACATTTCTTTGATATTTTTCAATTTTCACATAAAACTGTATACATTCTTTGTTGAATCAAATGACTGGAAATATGATGCATCTAGAGATGGAAACAGGTATAAACAACCTGACTGGGAAGGGATGGCGAGGCCTTTTTTTTAATTCAGTTTATGCATATTTGGGAAGGGGAGGGGGTTGCACAAAAATGCCTGTGTCATTGCTGTTTATTTTTTTGCAGCTGGACAAATTTTTTTCCCCTCTAAAGTCTATTCATTTTCACAAAAATGAAAACCAAAATGATTGGAAATTATATCTTCCAAAATCGAAAAAAGTATTTTCAAAATCAATACAGGCAAAGGTTGCAGTGAATTCAGCACTGTGGTGCAATTGTTGTACAGAAACAATAAACTCCGTTGCATTGTAACATATTAAAATAAAAATTATTTACTTATATCCGTCTTATCGTGTACAGATGAGTGTTGACTATCTTCGTCCATTCCCGAGTCTGTCTTTTCTGTGGAATCGATTTCTTTCATAGTCGTCGACACTTGTATCGTCTGTAACATAAAAACGTAACACTTTTGACGGGTACTAACAACATAGATACAGATAAACACATATCGTTTGTGATGCCGTCCTCCACAGCAAAGTCATCACATGAGCAAATAGAACTAATTTGTAATAAATTAACAGGAATATGATAGAGATATAAACACATTCCACTACGATAACATACTTGTGATTAAGAAGGTTGATCGAAGAATGAGGGAAACCGAAGACTTTGTTTACATTTTGCACAAGACGCTGAATCGATACAAATCAAGTGAAAACACATTAAAAAGATGGAATATCAAATTACATAACTTACTTCTGTACTCTGTGGGTCCTCCATAATGTTGATTTCCCTTCTTTTCTCTTCGGTTACAAATTAAATATCTAGCTAAATTGTATTCGCAATTTCTACCTCCATTTCTCATTTCGCGCGTTATTGTTGCGCATGTGAACCTTCTACTTCCGGGTCTTGTCATTTATTTGGTCGACACGATAGATTTTCCTGACACTGCAGAAAAATGACACATAGTTTTAAAAAATATTAATATTTTCCACACTGAATTGTTCTATTCACTTGTGGATGACAGTGTGTGTGTTTTTGGGGGTTTTATTTGTTTTTTATTCCTTTTCATTTCTTTCTTTTTTTTACACTCTTATCACGTTGTAAATTTCGTCATTCTATTTCAACACATTGGCATTATTAATGATTCTCTGGTGTCAAGATCACGGAGAAAATAGATTATTTTGAAAAGGGACCTCTTTCCAACAAATTTAGACATTGTTTGAACAAGTCATTTTATTGAGTCATAATCAGAAACCAGTTCTGACCAACCTGACTTTTTTTGCGACGACATTTTGTACGGAAATATTGGTTCAAAATAGCATCTTACCAAAGAATGACTATAACAGGGGTAGTCTTTTAAATGCCCGCGACTGGAGTCGAGTCAGGCAGCCCCATCCTCGGCTTCCACCGACTGTCACAATTTAAGCTTATCGCTATAGTGAGAGAGGAAACGAAGGGTAGTAACTCTGTGATATCAGAATGAGACCTGGATTGCTAGTTGTGCGTTCCACCAATGTCTCCCTTTCCGAGTAGACAGAAAGAGGCTACGTATTTACCACGTCTACTTATTTTTGTAACACCTGTCTGAATTTATGGGCATTCTTATCAAACTGATTTTTTGGATTTTTGTCACAACATAGTTTCAATTACGCAATCAATTTTTAAGCGCTGTTAGCAGTGCCTATCCAAGGCATGTTCATTGTTGACCGTGTGCCACTCCTGGAGATACATTAGGATATTATATTAAATAATTAAGTGATCATCAAGAATGATACCAATCACTCGAGGCAACCCTAAAGACATACGTAACCCGTCAATTAAAACTCCGGAACGTAAACGTCCGTCCATTTTTTCGTTTAGTCATCATATTTCACCTCACTAACAAGCTGTTCTAAGTCAATTAAAAATACATCATGTTAGGAGTTCCAGGTCCTTGACTACTCTAACTTTCCATTGATAAGGAGGCCGGCATTTTGAGGAAAATAGTTGCAATCGATGGACATAAAATACCCTCTTGGTCCTAGATGCACTTTCAGGAACCCAACTCCCTTCTTAGAAAATAATGCACCTACAACAACATCAGAATGGAGGATAGCAGCACTAAGAATGGGAAAATGAAATATCATATAAAAAATATATACCCCAACATCCTCAGAAATACCCCCAGCATCCTCAGAACAGGAAATCCAAGGTCGTCGAAAAGTTCACCGATTTTTTTTTTTTTACAATCCACGTACCATCAACTTTACCTCTGGAGTACAAAACATGACAAGTAGACCCGGATTTCATAGTGCTGTGCTTGGTAACAATGTTTGATAGAGAGAGGGCTAAACAACCAGACGAATCGACAATAAAACACTTGCTATAAGGACCCATGCGACGCCCAAGAATCTCGTACCATAAACTGGCGACAGGAATGATAGTATTACTGAACCATATGATGACAGGAAGCATGCTTAAACAATGCTTCCCTATGAAGACTGGTAGGCAGGGTTCTTTACGCTGTCAAGCAAACTTAAATCTTCCTGTGTACATTTTCGGCCCCTATGAGCTGTGAATCGGAAGCAGGGTAGTGACTCTGGGGGATGTTGTATCGACATCAGAAAAGGCTGGAATCATCTCAAGTCCTTCTTTGTGTACATTAAGTTGTCACAGGAAACTAAATTATTCCATGGATTAGAGTCGATGATGCCGTGATGCAAGGTGTAGGTAAGGGTGTTCCTGATATCCCTTGCTTGGATACCACCCAGTATGCAGGACGATTGAGTATTAGGGACTAAGTGTCAACTACAACAAGCTCAGGATAAGTTGGTGGTAAGTTCGCTTTGTCGACAAGTCCTGATGAAGTCCACATAGTACGGGCGGAACCGGTCGACAAGATTAATACACCTACCACCAACTTACCCTGAGCTTGTTGCGGTTGATACTTGCGTTGTTGGGAAACTAAATTTGCACTACATGGTAACAATGATAATTTCGTTGTAACTCAAAATAGTTCACACGCCATGCCATAATGTCTACCAGAATTTTGTTCCTTAATAGTCTCAATACAACCTTCAAAGTATGATACCTAGATACCACAACAAAGACTTGTCAAATTATGCTAGCAGATTACTCACCATTTCCGTCCTGTGCTAGGATAAAGGCATCAATGTCATTGGACTGTGCATACGTGTCTCGTCCCTGTCATGGGACTGTGTATAGTGTCTTGTCCCTGCCAATGGACTGTGCATACGTGTCTCGTCCCTGTTATTGGACTGTGCATACATGTCTCGTCCCTGTCATAAGATTGTGTAAACGTGTCTCGTCCTTGTCCTTGGACTGTGTATAGTGTCTTGTCCCTGTCATTGGACGGTGTATACGTGTCTCGTCCCTGTCATTGGAGTCATTGGACTGTGCATACGTGTCTCGTCCCTGTCATTGGACTGTGTATAAGTGTCTCGTCCCTGTCATTAGACTGTGTATAGTGTCTTGTCACTGTCGTTGGACGATGTATACGTGTCTCGTCCCTGTCATTGGACTGTGCATACGTGTCTCGTCCCTGTCATTGGACTGTGTATAGTGTCTTGTCCCTGTCATTGGACTGTGCATAAGTGTCTCGTCCCTGTCATTGGACTGTGTATATTGTCTTGTCCCTGTCATTGGACTGTGTATACGTGTCTCGTCCCTGTCATTTGACTGTGTATAGTGTCTCGTCCCTGTCATTGGACGGTGTAAACGTGTCTCGTCCCTGTCATTTGACTGTGTATAGTGTCTCGTCCCTGTCATTGGACTGTGTATATTGTCTTGTCCCTGTCATTGGACTGTGTATACGTGTCTCGTCCCTGTCATTTGACTGTGTATAGTGTCTCGTCCCTGTCATTGGACGGTGTAAACGTGTCTCGTCCCTGTCATTTGACTGTGTATAGTGTCTCGTCCCTGTCATTGGACTGTGCATACGTGCCTCGTGCCTCGTCCCTGTCATTGGACTGCGTATAGTGTCTTGTCCCTGTCAGTGGACTGTGTATAATGTCTTGTCCCTGTCATTCGACTGTGTATAGTGTCTTGTCCCTGTCGTTGGACTGTGTATACGTGTCTCGTCCCAGTCATTAGACTGTGTATAGTGTATTGTCCTTGTCATTGGACTGTGTATACGTGTCTCGTCCCAGTCATTAGACTGTGTATAGTGTCTTGTCCCTGTCATTGGACTGTGTATAATGTCTCGTCCCTGTCATTGGACTGTGCATACGTGTCTCGTCCCTGTCATTGGACTATGTATAGTGTCTTGTCCCTGTCATTGGACTGTGCATACGTGTCTTGTCCCTGTCGTTGGACTGGGCATACGTGTCTCGTCCCTGTAATTGGACTGTGCATACGTGTCTCGTCCCTGTCATTGGACTGTGTATAGTGTCTTGTCCCTGTCATAAGACTGTGCATACGTGTCTTGTCCCTGCCGTTGGACTGGGCATACGTGTCTCGTCCCTGTCATTTGACTGTGTGTAGTGTCTTGTCCCTGTCATTGGTCGGTGTATACGTGTCTCCTCTTTGTCACTGGTCGGTGTATACATGTCTCCCCTTTTGTCACTAGTCGGTGCATACGTGTCTCGTTCCTGTCACTGGTCGGTGTATACATGTCTCCCCTTTGTCACTGGTCGGTGTATACATGTCTCCCCTTTTGTCACTGGTCGGTGTATACATGTCTCCCCTTTGTCACTGGTCGGTGTATACATGTCTCCCCTTTGTCACTGGTCGGTGTATACGTGTCTCCTGTTTGTCACTGGTCGGTGTATACATGTCTCCCCTTTGTCACTGGTCGGTGTATACATGTCTCCCCTTTGTCACTGGTCGGTGTATACATGTCTCCCCTTTTGTCACTGGTCGGTGTATACATGTCTCCCCTTTGTCACTGGTCGGTGTATACATGTCTCCCCTTTGTCACTGGTCGGTGTATACGTGTCTCCTGTTTGTCACTGGTCGTTGTATACATGTCTCCCCTTTGTCACTGGTCGGTGTATACATGTCTCTCCTTTGTCACTGGTCGGTGTATACATGTCTCCCCTTTGTCACTGGTCGGTGTATACGTGTCTCCTGTTTGTCACTGGTCGGTGTATACGTGTCTCGTTCCTGTCACTGGTCAGTGTAACCATTTCTCGTCTCTCTATTATTGGTCAGTGTATACGTTTCCGATCTCGTCTTCCTATCTGTATCTTTGGTCAGTGTATGTTACTTTGTGAACAACGTCTACCTCGTTCTGTGATCTTTTTAATCCGGTATGATATTCACTTTGATGTAAAATTTGTTAGTCAAAAGACAAACACCAGCCAGAACAAATTTTTCATAACGTGTTTTATATGTAAAGTACATAACATAGCAGAATAATACGATCGATTATTAAATCTGATATGTAATTTGATGTATATAAGTAACATTTTACATACTTCATTGACAGTTGTTTGAAATATTCAACAAAAACAGTCAATAAAATGTCATCAGAGCAAAACGGAATGTTGAGAGCTGTGTGATTTATCAGCTTAGACATTGTCATTACATTACTAGTATGAACAAATTAATGATATGACCTTCCGCATCTAATCTTCCGGTCTCTGGATATGCTTATAGTCCGTGCTGATGGTCATTTCCTTTCATTATCAGAAATGTAGACATCTTTATTATTGTCACAGAAAATCTTATCTATCACAGATAAATCGTACGTATGATATTGTTTTATGTTGTATAAGTATGCTTTATCTGCGAGACATAATTGATTATGCTTTATTCGCAACAATAGTTTATCACGCTTTGTCTGCGAAAGATATAATCAAAATGTGCTTTATATTTCGCAAATTTATAGTTTATTTTGCTCTTTATCTGGGATACATTCATAGTTTGTCACGCTTTATCTGCGATAGATATGATTTTCTGGTAATTTTTGTCATTATGCCATACTTTACGATATAAATAAATTATGATGCTTTATCTAATATGATGTTGTCTAAACATCTGGTCAGCAATGGAAAAGGTGTTCACGCGAATGAGAAATCTACGTGCACAAAATAAAAAAATGCTATTTGTGACATAAGAAACGTTAGATGTGTCAGTGGTATCAAAATCAAATTTCCACCTAAATAGTAATCATAAAAATATAAGCATATTCAGTTTTCTAAAAAGCGCATAACAGAGACTGACAAACTTACACTGAGGATGGAACTACCCACGGTCATGTTGCCCGGATGGAATATATTTCTTTATCGCGTGATGGGCCTGTCGTCTTGGAATACATCTTAATTCTTTTATAGAGTCGAAATAAATATGACGTATTGTCACGTTATGAAATGAAAATCAAATGGCATCACACATTTGAAAATTATATAATGCTGTCACCATGGAAACGATTTAGAATCACAATGACTTATACAGCGAATGGTGTGTGTTCACGCATATACAAAAAACGTAAGATCATGGTTCTGGCTAAAATGACAATTAAAAAAAATCTGATATTCCTTGCATAAATATCGTGCTAACACAAGCTCCGGCCAGATGGATTCTGGCTTATAGTATGATACAACACATGGTTTGTCCTCAGTGTGAAGTAGGAAACATCACATGGTCCGAACACTGTGTGTAATAAAGAAACGTGACATATTGTACAACAAACAGTCTAGGACCAACAGTGTTGTGATATAGCATATCACATACTGAGCTGATGATAAAAAATATTTAACAAGAGAAAAAAACAAGTTTCGATAACAAGGTTAACAATACAACACAACATCTGTGTTTAGCGTTCTAGGAACGAAACTTATTTAACAATAATAACGACTTGTGAAATAGTAAGCTTTGACGAGTCCACACTAGTTCTACCTGACGACACAATCTGGTAGTGGTAGGAATCGGTCTACAGTGCTGCCAAACGACACGGTCTGCTAGTGACGGGAATTGTTCTGCAGTAAAATCAGACAACATAGTACTACGAGACAACAGTCCTGTAGTGGCGGGAATCGTCCTTCAGCACTACCAGACGACACGGTTCAATATACGTCAGCTTATTTACCATGCTGTCCGAGTATGATTTTAATCCACACATACATATATATATATATAGTCTAGCGAAGTCCGAGTAATATGTTTAAATTCACATCAGAGTTTATCTACTACCCTCACACGGAAGCTGTGTAGATAGCGACTCATACCGATATACACAATGTAGATTGTTTTGATGTTTTCATCATATAAAAATACACAATGTTTTTCGAAAGACACTTTTATCAGGCAACCACATATCGTCCGTTTTCATGGACACCCATTCTCAATATTAGTAACTTTTGATTTCTTCCTCATACATGGACATTTTTTAAATTTCTCTTTTATAAAATTGAAAATTGGCCTCAGAGAACCGATGTCATTTTGAGGGCCTAACATCCCCATTAAAACGGAGAACAGACCCAGCGAAAAGAATAGAGAAAATCCAATTGTGCAGAATAAAAATATGCCGAATTGCATGAAAAATGTTATTTTTGCCAAAAACATGAAGAGTGCAGCACCGAGAGTTGTGCACGCCCCAGAAAACACCGACGTGGCCATTTCTTCTAACATGTCACGTGTTCTGTTGAGGCGGTCTTTATGCAGTGAATTCCTGTATCCTTCCGCCAAGTGCACGACGTAATCAACCGCCAATCCCACGAGCATTGTCATATTCAGTGACGTCAACAGCTGGAATACAAAGCGGAACACAATGATATAAGTCATGATTTAAGAATTTATTGGTTACAATGAACCTACAAATGTCATCGGTAAGCTACTGCGAATTTTATATCATTTTATTTCAGATGTAAGACTTAAGGTGGTAAGGTACATTTCTCCCAGTCATACTTCTTTCTGATAACGTAAAGCTTCATTCCTATTGTAATATCGTATCTTATGGCTGAAGTATATAACATTATCACAGCGGACTTAGTCTATAAATAATTTATTCGTAACACACATACCCCGAGCTTCCAACCTGCCGTCGGAATAACCCCGATGACGCAGATGGTTGTACAACAGATCGACAGCGTAGCGAAGCTGCCTACTATGACATTCATGGTGGACAGACAGAGTATGGGGAATGCTAGAGACACACCAACTGCGATACCTGTTACAGCATTCTTTTCCATTTCCTACAACAGTTAACAAATCAGTATTGTAAACTCTCCTGTTCATTAGAATGAATGAAACACATCTTACACACTTTACTACAAGCTCTTTTACAATTCAGAAGACATTTCCGAGAAGACAAGAAGCCTACTACATTGCAGTTTCTGCCCACTTAAGTAGGTGAAACTGAAAAAGTTTGTTTAAGATGTGCCAAGAATCTGTCATTTAACGGCAAACGGCCAGTTTTCCTTTGCAAAACTTCAACGGAGATGTAGTTAAAGGCACATGTAACAAATATAAGTGTGTGTACCTACATCGCCGTATAACGACCTACCTTCTGTACGTATAACCAATGCCAGATATCGCGTGTTAACTGGAAACCTCCTTGTAAACCCACAGGCATCTTGTTTATCTATGAAAAAAATAATATAAAAAACCCGTAAAAATGAAATAGAAATATTATTGAGAACCTTATTTTTCAGTTTTTGTTCATTGTTTTCACCATTTTTCAACTCTGGTGTAAACACATCCGGGAACAGCATTGTTCTGCAGTGTGTAACCGTGGAATTGGGATATTTCTCAATAGCCCATTCTGGGAGGGTCTGAAAGAAATCATTCCCATTCCTTCTGTATAGATACTGACAGACTTCTACCCCTATATTTCCCATTCTCATAGGTATGCACTTGAAGCTCCCACACCCTTTTACATTCTCGGCCCCCTATCACATCGACTGCCAACATTTATCACTGTAGTCTACCGTCTGAGAGAAACGAAGGGAAGCAACTCCGGGAGATCAGAATGTATCGTTTTAATGCAAAGCTTTTGTACTTACCTCGGATTGCACGAAGGCTTCCCACCTCTCCACCTTCGGAATACCCTCGGAGTAGCCCGTAGTAAACCTATTGATGGTTGTGTTGATAGATACCATCATGTATTTGAGTTTATTGCCGTAATAGATAGCTGTAAGCAAGATTTGATATCCTCACTATATTGTTTACCAATACCAACAAACACAAGTTGTTTGGTGTCAATAGGTTATTTCCTCAGTTGTTGGAATGTCGATCTCCAAAGCTGGCCATATCTTAACTAACAAAAATGATAATTTGGTAGACACCTGTTTTCGTTTGTTTTTGTTTGCTTTTATGTATGCGTGTGTGGTTGACATTTTCATCGAACTTCAGAGAGACATTCTTCTTTTCAGTACCTCCGATAAAGAAAATGACAGTGCAATTTCTTATTAATTGTTCCCTCAATCCTTAATCTGAATCGACAGATTGTTGAACTTATGTCCTTAAGCATTTTGTAAACAACAATGATTGCTGGCCAGTTTTGTTTGAAAGAGCAAACCATCGAAAATCATCATTATCTTGATAATTTCTGACAAGTATGCCAGTATTATCGAAATTAAACAGTCATGAAAAAACACATTTAAAGTATTCCAAGTGAAGTTAATGACATATGCTGTCGTTCGGTTTGAGCTAATTTTCATTATTTTTGTAAAGTCTTTTGAAATGTTTCACACGATACTTTTATACGTTACAAAATATTAGACGGCGTTTATCAAATCTTTGCATTTAAATGATTAGGCCTCTCTGCTTTAAATGTGTTTACGATATCAAATATTATTGTCTGCTGCCAGGCACGACAAATTAGTTATCAAAATATATTTCTGTATGTGTTTTTGACATTACAATACTTACAGGAGTCCGATAGCAATTGTTGAGACCACGTCCCTTTCTGTTCCCCAAATAAGTTGTTATAAGTTGAAAAGTCCGCCGTGAACGTCTTTGCATAGCGGTTATACATCCAGTACTGTATCGCTATCTGTGTCAAACAATATGATAAAGTACATTACTGTATTGCTCTCTGTGTCAAACAATATGATAAAATTACATTACTGTATCGCTATCTGTGTCAAACAATATGATAAAGTATATTATTGTATCGATGTCTGTGTCATACAATATGATAAAATTACATTACTGTATCGCTATTTGTGTCAAACAATATGATAAAATTACAGTACTGTATCGCTATCTGTGTCAAACAATATGATAAAGTATATTATTGTATCGATGTCTGTGTCATACAATATGATAAAATTACATTACTGTATCGCTATTTGTGTCAAACAATATGATAAAATTACAGTACTGTATCGCTATCTGTGTCAAACAATATGATTAAGTACATTACTGTATCGCTATCTGTGTCATACAATATTACAGCTTATGTAAAGTATGGTATCTTTCTCTTTGCCTTAAAACCACAGTATACTATAGTAACATGAAGTACTGTATAGTTATTAGTGCCATACAATATAGTCTGTCAGTATTAAGTATTGTTTTGTATAGTTGTGTAATACGTTTTGATCTGGGTAGACTATACATATTTTATCTATGTAAACAAAGTACGCGTACAATAATATACCAAATAGGTAAGCGCCTCTAACTTCATGTTAAAGAATGTCGAAGTTTTTTTTAAATGAAGAAGAAATTCAGAACTTGTGACACCTAAACCAGCAGGAATACAATGACATATCGACAGTAACATCGTCTAGTGCTTGTCGATCAATTCTAAGATGCAACATACATTTTTTTACATAAATCTTATTTACGTTACCTCTAATGTGTTAGGGAAGTTTGAATTAAACTGAGAAACATCGTAATGAGTGGACTCAGCGGTCATCAGGTTGGAAACTTTGGTGTAATCCCAGGGCAGTGACACATCAATGGCCAAGGTCGTAGACACGTTCTGGAACAAAACAATACCTTAGTTACTCCATATATATAAATATATATATTCATATGTACATAATTCATTTTGAGGAGGGTACAAATGACACTTCCATTCCTTATAGAACAGATAGTACACAAGACCCGAGACGAGATCTATATTGTAGGTCATTTGTAAACCAAGAAAGAGGGATTTAGATCTAATGATTAGATGATATCAGTTTCAATTTCAGGCGTGTTTGATAAAATTAGCAAGAAATGTAGGAGCTTTAAGAACTCGTTTTAATAGATATAACACCAGTTTTAATAGAAAGGACAAGTTTACAATAGTTGTATGCTGTTATAGCGAGTACACGTGTGAAAAAACGTTAAAAAATCTCTGTAAATTTAGGTTAGTTAAACATGTTGATGATAAAGTTTGTTTTGTGGATGTTGTATTCTCGATATCAAAGGTTTCTTTTTGTATAATGAATCAGAATGTGAGTGACAAGTCGGACGATTTCAATAGAAAGCTACATAGCTGACATATGTTTCAAAGCGGCAGTAGGACCCATCTCGCGTACAGAACAGCTATCGGTGATGTTATGTTAATTATACTGTCCAATGTTCTGCGATGTAATGTTATAAGTAAAATGTGTTTACAACGTGATAATGTATTCTATGTAAAATACACATTGTTTCAAAAATTGAAAAAAAAAACTAATATTTTTGTTTTACTTCTGTAATACTCATGTGAACCTTTACCGTATGGCGTTATATTAAACTGTACTATTTTTGCACTATCAGGTATAAACTGAGTGTAGATTTCACTATTGACTGCATTTCTATTAATATCTCATACAGAACTGATCGTTATACGGCAACAGCTATACCAGATGTTATTCAACAAGAATGATGAATAGTATAGTGTTACAATAAGTTCGCCAAACGAAAACAATGAAAGTTACAGTATTAAAAGCATATATTATACTATAAACTCGTATTTAACAAATGATACCGCCAGATTTATCTTTATCTTCTACATTTTGTAAAAATAGAGTAGAGAAATTTCACCTGATACCAACCCCATTCCATTGTTTGTAAATTTTGCGAAAAGTTTTTACCTTACATCATATAATGAAAGATTTAGCCACAATAACACATTCGTCTGTTTGTATTTTAGGTTGATAAAACAAAACACAAATAAAAAAAACCAAACAAACAAACAAAAAACAACATATTCAATCGATAGCTTAACAACCTATAATTGATAATTAAAGAATTTACCAACAATTCCACCCACTACCTCTCGCTATCCCATCCCCTTCCCTGTGTGGCGTTGGAAACAAATTACTGTATATAGGTTCATTGCTATATTGATTACCATGATGTGACAATGAACGACACTCTTGAAAAGAAATTAAAATATTCATTTCACTCAACAATAGCATTACCAGGTATTTAAAGTTTTCGCATCTCAGATCTGAGAAAAATACACCCCCCCCCCAAAAAAAAAGCACACACACATACAAAGTTATCCCCCTTTCCATTGCTTGCTGATGATATTATAATGGGACACCTTGATAAGCGTTTTTAGACAGATCTTTACCTGACAGGAGTGGTGTGGACTCCTTGTGTAAAATGACTAATTAATCATGGCTTGTTAAGAGATATACCCATGTAGTCTAGGATTGGGTTTTATTGTGATATTTTCTAACGTGGCATTGTTCGTTATTAAAAGATCAGAATGTACTAAAGATACACAAGTGAATAGCACCACTTGATACAATTTAGATAAGTTACAATAGAGTGACTTAAACTGTATCATACGGCTATTTCGTCCTACTAGGACTCTTCAGTAATGCTGCATCATACGGCTGTTTCGGCCTTCTAGGACTCGTCAGTGATGCTGCATCATACGGCTGTTTCGGCCTTCTAGGACTCGTCAGTGATGCTGCATCATACAACTGTTTCGTCCTACTAGGACTCCTCAGTAATGCTGCATCATACGGCTGTTTTGTCCTTCTAGGACTCGTCAGTTTTGTTAAGGGCCTACATGTGAACGGTCATAACGCGTCACTCCAATGAATACTACGTATTGGATAGAGATAAACAAAATATCTGAAAAACTACCTATCAGTTCACCTACCGTTAGAAATGTACCGAGATCCCGGGTAAAGCAGGCAATCTCAGGGTCACCATTAGAATCTGTCTTGATCTCGTACGTCGTAAGATCAGACGCAGACATACCATACAAGCGAGTGCAGAAATCCTGAAAAATAGAAACAATCAGAGAAATTAAACTTTTTTATGGCCTTAAGTTAGATTTCTGTGATTTAAATCAAGTTCTGTTCGGCAGTGATATATATAATAGTGTATGGAGCCTTGCATCTATCAATGATATATTGTTTTAATAAGGTTCATTGATATAAATATTTTTTTTCTCCAAAGTCTTTGTAAACATAAATTTGTGATAAATGATGGAATTGATTCTATGCAGGTCAGATGTGTACATCATATATAAGTCTGTGCAACCGAGTAAGGTCAGACAATGTGCATTATATAAGTCTATGTACACGGTGAAGGTCAGACAATGTGTACATGCTATACGTCTGTGTACAAGGTGAAGGTCAGACAATGTGTACATATTTTACGTCTGTGTACAAGGTGAAGGTCAGACAATGTGTACATATTATACGTCTGTGTACAAGGTGGAGGTCAGACAATGTGTACATATTTTACGTCTGTGTACAAGGTGAAGGTCAGACAATGTGTACATATTATATAAGTCTATGTACACGGTGTACAATGTACATTAATGTGTGTTTACTATGTTAGCTTGAGATAAGCTGGAGGCGGTAAAATGATGTGTGTTTACTATGTTAGCTTGATGTGAGCTGAGGGCGGTAAAATAATGTGTATTTACTATGTTAGTTTGAGATAAGGTGAGCTGAGGGCGGTAAAATAATGTGTATTTACTATGTTAGTTTGAGATAAGATTGGGACGGTAAAATAATGTGTATTTACTATGTTAGCTTGAGGTGAGCTGAGGGCAGTAAAATGATGTGTGTTTACTATGTTAGTTTGAGATAAGATTGGGACGGTAAAATAATGTGCGTTTACTATGTTAGCTTGATGTGAGCTGAGGGCGGTAAAATGATGTGTGTTTACTATGTTAGTTTGAGATAAGCTTGGGACGGTAAAATAATGTGTATTTACTATGTTAGCTTGAGATAAGCTGGAGGCGGTAAAATGAAGTGTGTTTACTATTGGGACGGTAAAATAATGTGCGTTTACTATGTTAGCTTGAGGTGAGCTGAGGGCAGTAAAATGATGTGTGTTTACTATGTTAGCTTGAGATAAGCTGGAGGCGGTAAAATGAAGTGTGTTTACTATGTTAGCTTGAGATAAGCTGAGGGCGGTAAAATGATGTGTGTTTACTATGTTAGCTTGAGGTGTGCTCTGGACGGTAGAACTGTGTTTTTATAAAAGCATGAGATTGACGGTTTAAGTGAAATGATGTGTATATCCTATGTTAGCCTGAAATAAGCTGTAGACAGTAAAATTATGTATGTTTTAAGAAAGCATGAGGTGAGCTGTAGACGGTAAACAGGTGTATTTTCTATGAAAGTAAAAGTCACATGTATACCATAAGGGCCTGTTGATTGGCAACTGGATTTGGGTCGAACGTGTCATCATAAACGGTGGTGCCTCGACAAGTGATGTCGGAGAAATGGCAGTTAGACCGGTCCTTATTTCTCAGACCCCACAAAATGTGTATTGTCACCAAGTTCTCCTCCGCGCTCACATAGAAGTCATACTGTTCAGCGTCTATTGCCTTGGTGTAGTGATGGGAGTCCTTCCATACTTGCATCTGTAACAGTCAAACAATATAAGGTATTGTTATTGTTATAACTTACAGGATAATTATCATTTAAAGACTTTCCGAATGTACATTACTCCTCTGAAGTGATCAAATGTTAGATAATGAAACAACGAACATTTATATGTTAATCAAAGTTATAGAAATACTAGTTATTAGACTGGACAATATTGCTGCATGTGTTGTGACGCTAACTTACATTTTCGTTGTCCGGTTCCAGTTTGGATGCCTGGTACGCAAATACAGCGACGACACAAGCAAACACCGGAAGTAAGCACCATCGAGCAATCTTATGCGTGATAAATCGGAAATAATAGTCTCGGAAGAAGACGACCAGTTTTTTCTGCTTGTTTTTGTCTTTTTTGCCTGTATGTTTGTCGTTGGACTCGGGACTAGTGCTAGCAGTCTGAACCGCTCCATTAGGTACTCCATTTGTCACATGTCCATTGGCTATTCCGTTACTTACATGTCCATTGGTTAAGAATCCATTATTTATATGTCCATTAGATTCGCGGCCATTATTTATCTTCGGATTAGCATCTTCAATATCTTCAATCACTGTTTCTCCTTTCATTGTTTTAATGTCAGATTTTCCATCAGATAAAACAAATATGTTCTGCATTGGCTTCACTGAGTTGTTGTTGAATTTGTCTTTTTCGCTATTTTCGTTTGCTTTCTTACGACAGCAACGAAAACATGGCCATTTAAATTGTTCAAACTTCAGATGATACATAGTGACAACACAAGGGAAAAATATTATCACTGTCAGGTAGTTATAAAAGATAATCACGGCAGCAAATACTCCAAAGGATTTGGTGGCGAGGAGGGGTGAGATAGCGCTGCAGAGAAACGCTACTATCGTAGTCAGTGATGTAATAGCCATACTCTGTGCGGATTTGCTAAATGCATCCGACATACGGTGCGCCAGTGAAGGATATGACTGAAAAGATGTCAACCTCCAAGCATCATAAAACACAAACAAATCGTCTGCTCCGATACCAAGGGCAATAAAAATCGCCAAAATATGGAAAAAGCCAAAATACTGGAAGTCAAAAATAACTCTATATATCAAATTACCTCCTACGAAACTTGTTATAATACTTAGTACTGCAAAACCGGCGATCCAGAATGATCTCGTGTGAAAGGTCATGAAAGAGAAAATGAAAACCATACTCCCTAAGGCTAGCATCATGTCAGCCATGGCCTGGGCAATCACATCTTTGTTCCAAAGAACATAACTATAGTACCAAAAATCAACAGTCGTGAGCTTTTCTCTCCAGCTTTCCAGTTTGTCTTTCAAAGGGCCCTGTAAAAAGTCGCCAACAATATCTTTCATAGTCTTACACAAATAGGTTCCGCTGACCGAACATCCTATTGGGAGAATAGAGCGCGTTAAGGACCCTACAGCAGTGGTAGGTGTGATAATGAACGACTTAGGGAGGAAAAAATCGAAGTCTGACTTGGTCTGTGCATTTGTGTGAGCCTCATACAACACTCCTGGAATGTTACTGAATGTCGGATCGTTGAAAGTGGAACTGATGCTGGCGTAGGTGCCGTCAAAATATCGTAGAATGGACACAACATTCACACATTCTAGCGAGGATGAGTTGGTCTGACACCAACTTGTGGAGTACCCGGAAGCAGTTACCAAATCATTTTCCACCTGTTGCATCAGTTGAAGCGTTTCTCGGGTGAAAATATTGCCCCCGTTGCTGCTATAATAAAGATCAAGCGATGACAATGCATGCCGTAGACCTCGCTCCCAGGATGGATAGCCGTTGTTGGAAAGTTGTCTTGTGAAGGAATCGGTGTATTCGTCTTTGTCACGGTTGGCATAGTCTCGGAGTCTATAGGGGACAGAATACACCTCCATCGGCAGTGTGTCAAAGCTTGTCGGGAACAAGTTGTAACCACTGAGGAACAGGATGCCAGAAATTATCAGCACACCAATCTGTATACCCAGCGTTATAACTACAACACAAAGTATTCAGGATAATCATAATCACAACTACAACACAAAGTATTCAGGATAATCACAACCATAACACAAAGTATTCAGGATAATAACAACCATAACTACAACACAAAGTATTCAGGATTATCATAACCATAACTACAACAAAAAGTATTCAGGATAATCACAACTACAACACAAAGTATTCAGGATAATCACAACCATAACTACAACACAAAGTATTCAGGATAATCACAACCATAACTACAACAAAAAGTATTCAGGATTATCATAACCATAACACAAAGTATTCAGGATAATCACAACCATAACTACAACAAAAAGTATTCAGGATAATCACAACTACAACACAAAGTATTCAGGATAATCACAACTACAACACAAAGTATTCAGGATAATCACAACTACAACACAAAGTATTCAGGATAATCACAACTATAACACAAAGTATTCATGATTATCACAACTACAACACAAAGTATTCAGGATAATCACAACCATAACTACAACACAAAGTATTCAGGATAATCACAACTATAACACAAAGTATTCAGGATAATCACAACCATAACTACAACACAAAGTATTCAGGATTATCATAACCATAACTACAACACAAAGTATTCAGGATTATCACAACTACAACACAAAGTATTCAGGATTATCACAACCACAACACAAAACTACAACACATTCAGGATTATCACAACTACAACACAAAGTATTCAGGATTATCACAACTACAACACAAAGTATTCAGGATAATCACAACTACAACACAAAGTATTCAGGATTATCACAACCATAACTACAACACAAAGTATTCAGGATTATCACAACCATAACTACAACACAAAGTATTCAGGATTATCACAACTACAACACAAAGTATTCAGGATTATCACAACTACAACACAAAGTATTCAGGATTATCATAACTACAACACAAAGTATTCAGGATAATCGCAACCATAACTACAACACAAAGTATTCAGGATAATCACAACTACAACACAAAGTATTCAGGATTATCATAACTACAACACAAAGTATTCATGATTATCACAACCATAACTACAACACAAAGTATTCAGGATTATCACAACTACAACACAAAGTATTCAGGATAATCACAACCATAACATAAATAATAGCATACAGGATAATGTTTATCACAATTATAACACATAGAAGTATTGTGAGTCATTAATTTTCGCGGGTAATTGATTTCTTTTTTATCATTTGGTTTTATTTCGTTATTTAGGAAACGTTTTTGAGCTACATTTATCAACAAAATAAAGTGTCCGCGATATATTGATTTTTCGGAGAAAAAACACGAAAATTGAACTCCTATTAAACGTTTTTGAGCTACATTTATCAACAAAATAAAGTGTCCGCGACATATTGATTTTTCGGAGAAAAAAAACACGAAAATTGAACTCCACGAAAATATATGATTTTACAGTTATCTTCAGGATAATGGTCACTACAGTTAGGCAGGTTACGAAGGGAGAATGCTGTTTTTCAGCGATTAATCAATTTTCTGAACGACATGACTTGCTGCTAGATATATAACCGGCCATTAATACTGTGAAATGTATCCTTTCTAGTATTTACTATATCGTTCATCTAAGATGAAATCTAACAGTACAAACAAAAAGATAACAACACACGATTGTGATATTGTAAGTTATGGATGTACTCACAGAAGCTCTTGAATGGATGATTTGTGACGATACGACAGTAGAAGAAGGGTTTCTTCTCTCGACGTTGTTTCTGTAGTTCCTCTGTGGATGTTTTATCTTTAGACGCCTCGTCAGCATTGCTTGATGCTGTGGTAGGAGGAGTTGTGTCATTTTCCGGTTTGTCAGAGACATCGCGGTGTTGTGGTAATTCGCCTTCAGGATGTTCCATGTTGGATCAAACAAGGGTCGTAAGCTTATAATGAATCTGTAATCATAAAAAACACAGGTTACTAGTGGAAAACAGTAGTTAAAGAACAGGCCCTTCAACAGATAACAAAGGGTAGCAAAAGAACAGACCCTTCAACAGATAACAAGGGATAGCAAAAGAACAGACCCTTCAACAGATAACAAGGGATAGCAAAAGAACAGACCCTTCAACAGATAAAAAGGGATAGCAAAAAGACGACTAAGGGAAGTAACAAGAAAAGTATTCTTTATCAGGTAATTTATGGAAAAGAATTGGAAAAGATGCTTTACTTGGCAACAAGAGGAAACAACAATTCACACACGCACGCACGCACACCCTCACACACACACACACACACACACACACACACACACCACCCCTGAAAAAACCGACTTAAATCCAGTAAAGAATAAAAATCCGAAGACGTTTAGGGATGACTGAATTTGACAATTCTCAGACATGACGGTTTCTCTCACTATAAAACCTACTCATTATCATACCACCAGTAACCCTACCGATATAAACAGACGTTTTCAACATAGGACTGAGGGAAACTGAGAGTGGGAAACAAACAGCAAAATCTGTTATGCACTAAGAAGGCATCGGTAATTTTACCACGATACACGTCATCTTACAGACATGTTTTAGAAACAAAAATAGTGAAAAAATGAACTTGACGTGAAATTGGATTACTCCTGATACAATAACATAAGAGTATCATAACTGCAACTCAATTATGAAGCATTAACAGCTATTAATGATAAATCTGTGAATTGAACGAAGGTTGCCGAGTACTGCTGAAATCATTTTAACACGTTGAATTACAGTGGACAATAAGACTGGTGTGGTGTTAATACAGCAATGATGTGACTCGTCGACTCCATCACAGGACTAAACCCCCACTTCAGGAGCGATTAAGTTACTCAATCTATTAATGCCTACACTTCATGATTATCCCCCACACTTCACGACTTTAAATCAAAACTATAAACATTTGTTTGAACTGTTCTGCTTGAGGAATAATTCCGATTGACACAAGATATAAAAGTTTTTCTGTATCCGACAACTGGAAACGTGACAAGGCTAACCCCTGCAGTCAGACTCATTAGGTATAATTTGTGGTCCTAACAATGGTGTATGTGTCGGACGCTCGGCGGGTAAAATGGCCTCCTCTGACATACAATCACATCCTTGTAGCCTCTGTATTTCCCTCGGGTCATGCTTTCTCCAGAAACTTGCAAATCATTGACAGGTATTCGATTCAAATAAAACGTGAAAGTAATTAATGTAGAAGTCGGTAGAAGTACGTCATACCAAAACAGACTTAATCATGTAGGCACACGTGAATTTTCCATATCGCTATATCAAAATTCTCAGCATGTTGTTTCAGCAAAAAAGGCCAAGATCGGTTGAACATGTGCATAATTGATTTGTTAAACTGCCTTCTCTAGCTGAGTCGTGGTCTGTTACCACACAGGGTGTTAAGCCCACCGGGAACACTTTACCCGGCCACAATCTTAGGTAACACTATGGATTTGATATAACAGATGGGCAATGTTCGAATATTCCGAAAAAAACAAGGGGTCGGAAAATATGCCTTTTCACGCTGTTATAGGTGTTTGGGAACTAAAGCAGTGTTGGAGCTAATAAATAATCTGTACGTCACACTTGACGTAGTGCTAAACCTGACTTTATTCAATATTAGAGTCTGCATCTGGGTTTGACATTATTCGACTAATTTTGGTTTTCCACACTCGCATCATAGGTTTCAATAATAACTTTCGAAACAGTTCTATAGCGCAGCATAAATGTTTCTGTTAAATCATATCTCATTCTTTGAGCATTGAAAGTTGTTATTCATGTGAGTGTGTTTTGTACAATATTTTGATTTGATCAAGTCAAGTACTTTCTGTAATGTATCTAGGTATGACATGGCAGTGATAAAGAAAATCATGCACTTTTAAAATTGTTATTTCATTTTTGTTTTTGCATTATTGTACAAAATGAAATAATACCTTTAAACAATACAAGACAGAAATTGTTTATTCGAAGGTTTCCAGATCATTAGATATGTAGAATTTACTTGAAAATCATATTTCAGTATGAACGAAATGAAATCAGTCTTTAAAGAACAATTAAATAAAATAACACTTAACAGTGGTCGTTTGTACAAAATAAAATTATAGTGTGGCCCTTTGTACGAAAAAGATATTATACAAAAGTAGCCATTGGTACAAAGTAACATTTTATAACGATCGTTTGTACAAAACAATATATCAAAGTTTGAAAATTTGAACAAAATAACATTTGACAGTTGTCGTGAAAACGAAACAATATTTTGCATTGGAAGCTTGAAGAAACTGTGAGTGTTCGTTATACAACATTATATTTCATTGTGGCCTTTTGTACAAAATAACATATTCTAGTGATGGCATATACAAAAAAAAACATTTTGAAGTGATTGTTTGAGCAAAGTAGCATTTTATGTTGGTGGTTTGTACAAAATAACATTTTGCAATGCCCGTTTTTTTTTTTACAAAATAACATTTGAAAGTGATTCTTTGTACAAAATAACATTTGATAGTGATCGTTTATAAAATATTATATTTATATAAAATACAGTGACTGTTTGTACAAAATATAGTTGTCTACATTAGCAAAGCAGTCTAAATATTAGAAAATAAACCCCATCTTGCTGTCAGAACGAAAAATTATCAGTGCCTGTTTAAATCTAAATATTTCACACGATGACGCTTAGCGCCTATTGACGACCATATCGCTGTTTCTGTCGAGACAGTCATGTGTGAGACAGTGTAGTTGCCTCCTTATAAGTCACTACCATTATCAGTAGCCTACAGGATGAAAGTTATGAACTAAATAAGGTTTAAGTCTGCAGTATACAATCAATCATTACAGAAGTTATTGTGACACTGTACGATACACACCTTACCTGGTTAGTCTGCTGACAACTCTGATACAACAAACTAATGTTGACGGCTATATAATCGATCTTAAGATGAGGAATAAACTGCTCTTTATGTACATTAAATCAATGTTTATCAGATGATTTTGTAATTTTGATCGATACCAGCTTTCTTGATAAAATCGGAATTGGCAACAGTGAAATACTCTATTGTTTTGCTGTGTTGACACTTCCGTACAAAATACGGGTTATCAAACAAAATCGGTCTCTTCTTGTTTATAATACATCCATTTTATGCCGGAAATGTTATTTTTCCGGTATTTGTTTTTTCAATCTCAAGTTTTCAGTTTTTATAAAAATAAATAGCAGTTCCTATAAGGGTTTTGTCACATACCTGATTAAGACAATGCTAATAGTGTTACACAATGGGAATGGTTAGAACAATAGTTGTGTGTTTCGCTGAGTACAATGCTATATTATCTAACAGAGATTGACACTAACGTAGTTCCTAATCTCCACAGATGAATATCTTCACTTCTAAATTTTAAATCTTGTGTTTTTTGCTGTGGATCTTGTGATGTACTTTCAACAAATCGCGTGATTTGTAATGTAAAATTTCATAAAATATTGAATATAAAGCACAAGCTACTGTGTATAACAAGCTTTAAGATACAAAACACACGATATTGAGTACTGGGAATGAAGCACGTAACTCACAAGAATATTACAAAAACTTACACATAGAAGAGTTACTTAGTTGTTCAGTTTATTTATGATTGTGATATCTCCATTTATTGTCATCATCCGCATCTGTATTATGTTAAACAAATATAAAAATGATTATAATATCGCAATCTATGGTCATCATCCTCATCTGTATTATGTTAAACAAATATATATAAGATTATAATATCTCCATCTATTGTCATCATCCTCATCTGTATTATGTTAAACAATTATATATATGCTAATAATATCTCCATTTATTGTCGTCATCCTCATCTGTATTACGTTAAATAACTTGAATATAGCTACCCATTATACATGGTATCGATTTCAATATCTCGTGACATACCTGTAAAGGTAAACAAAAGCATATCCTTACAATGTATAACAACATGACAGGCAATACAATGTTAACTACCCAGCACTGCATACCGGTATATATATACTAGGTCAACGATTTGTTAAATACTTTATCTGAATAATTACAAACAAAATAACACAAGAGCAGGTTACGTAAGCCCCATGCCCCATATATCAATACCGGCCATCTTTTAACGACATTTGAATTTATACCAGTATGACCTGGAAAAGAAAGTGAAGTTTTGAAAATTAAACAACCTTCATCATCATCATGTATACCACATATAGGCAATTACGAGTTCTTGTTCAGAATTTACACACTTAATGTTCTACTCTGATAAAGGTTATAAATAGAATACTCTATTGAGATGATGGATCCCCTATTACAAATGTTTTACGTAAAGAAATTCTCTAGTCAGATCTGTGATACGGGCATTTAACCGTTCTACAATGGTTCCGTGACAAAGTGCGTCGTCATTAAGGTCAATTCGACCAAGGTTGCGTTGATAAGCCTAGGCTAATGAGTTCTAAAATCACTGATGTTTCTATTAAAGTCAATTCGACCAAAGACGCGCTGATTAGTCTTGGCTAAAGAGTTATTTTCCTGTCACTAGTGACCGTTATCTATATTGTATAATAGTCCACCGGCACAGAAATGACCATTTCGCTCTTGACGAATAGAGATCAGCCAAAAATTCTAGTGCATATATGATTGCATGACATGACTTATTAGCCCTAGTTTTAACCGGTACGACAGCAATGCATACCTCAAGTACAGTAAAAGTACAAAGTAATGGAATTCATGTTTTAAAAGTTTTCGAAGTACACTGGTGCTTCGAAATAGTAACGTTTTAGAAAACAATGGCCGATTTAGCTTAAAGTTTAGGAATTTTCACTGACTTATTAGTACATTTCTATTTCGGTGAACACGACACACGTGGACGCATGCAAAACCAATCTGATATAAAGTTAT